ATTATTATTATTATTATTATTATTATTACTTTCAAGTCCCTCGCTTAGCGAGATGCCTATAGCAGACACCGGCACCTTTGTAGAACCAAGGTGCCTGCTTCGTTTGCAAACTAGTGATATCAGGATTCAAAGTGAACTTACATCAATAAAAACTTCGAGATGCGGGCAGTACTCAGGAGCACAGCCTTTTGCATTGATTGAATTTGCCAGTTCTTAGGGCCTAGTCTTGCAGACGATGACATTGGTTCTTCAGAGATCAATCCATTTGCAGAGATTACCACAGGGACTACTTCAACAGATACTAACCGCCACATGTCGCTCAGTTCAATAGCCAAGGCCTTCGTATTTCTTCTCGGCAACAGAGGCAACTATATTTCGGTCTAAAGAGATATATATTCTTCTTCGTTTCCTTCTCCTCCTCCTCCTCCTCCTCCTCCTCCTCCTCCTTCTTCTTCTTCTTCTTCTTCTTCTTCTTCTTCTTCGTCTTCTTCTTTTCCTCCTGCTTCTTCTTCTTCTTCTTCTTCTTCTTCTTCTTTTCCTCCTGCTTCTTCTTCTTCTTCTTCTTCTTCTTTTCCTCCTGCTTCTTCTTCGTCTTCTTCTTTTCCTCCTGCTTCTTCTTCTTTTCCTCCTGCTTCTTCTTCTTCTTCTTCTTCTTCTTCTTCTTCTTCTTCTTTTCCTCCTGCTTCTTCTTCTTCTTCTTCTTTTCCTCCTGCTTCTTCTTCTTCTTCTTCTTCTTCTTCTTCTTATTTTCCTCCTGCTTCTTGTCCTTCTTCTTCATCGGGGAAGAATTAAGATTGAAATTAGTTTTGTTGCCTAGATCAAGGAGTATGCAATGTCGACATTTCCGGGTAATTTCGATCCACTGTGCGCCGGGCGGCACCACCTGCTGGCGGTGCCCGCGGGCGGGAACCTCGCGTTGCCGCCGCCGCCGCCCGCCTTTTTGCCGCCGCTTCTTCGCCTCCTCAGAGGGCAATACGCCGCGGAGTCGCCGGAGACGCCTCTTCCTGTTCAGACCACTCGCGTGTCGGGTTGACGTGGCGTTGACGAGTCTTTGCTGATGGCGAGAGATGTCATTGAGCATTTTTCTACGCACGAACATGAGACGAGAAACTAAAGATCGAAAAGAATCTTAATAATTTACTTCATCACGTCTGTACGAACGAAGGAAATAATAATAATAATAATAATAATAATATAGTTTTTGTTGTTATCACTCTGATTATAGCTCTATATTCTTTACTATATTTTCTAAAATTTTAGTTCTTGAGATTGAGAAATGTATTATAATAAAGTAGATGTACGAGTATGAATGTATGAATAGACTTTTTATTTACAGTAATATTTTTATGTGTATTTATAATATTGTCTTCACAAGTATTAGATGCCAGAAATGGACGAGTACCTATTGTTTTTGTAATCGCGTTGCGATTGAACTCTGATCTCTCTCTATTAAAGTTAATATTATTTCCGTATACAAAACAAAGAAATTGCACAAAACGTAAAAGTGAGAGATGACTGTGTTGGACTTCGAGTACATTTTCGTACCTTTGACGTCTGACATGATAAACAATTGCAAACATTTCAAGGATGTCGAGAATCATTTCGTATACAATGATAAGAGCATTTCAAAGCTTCAATGCGTGCCTAAATGTCAAACAACCTTGGAAAATAATTACCACATTCGTTGTCCATAAAACCATTTAATTTCGCAGAGCCCTGCGCTTTCTGAATACAAAATCGCACTAAAAGTCTGAGTAGATCGCAGGCCTGTAGCGCCGTAAAGACATTAAAGACGAATTGGGTGTGCACTTGCGTCATCGACGATGACCGCCCAAGGCCGACGATTCCGCGCATGCGCTTTGGGCCAAGTGCTGGGCGTAAATCATCTGGAAAAGACGTCAAGACGACATTATGTCCATGGGTGTCATGGTTTTGTATCCTTCCATCAGGTTTAAACCAATAAACGTACGTCAAGAGATAAATGTCAAACGTTTTTTTTATAATTTTTTTGTTGATTAGGAAATTTACCACGAAGTTAACGTTGAAACATAACAATAGAACTGCTTAGATAATACGAGTAGGAATGATTGGCAGAAGTTAGCAGATTGTATACCAGGTCGTTGATTACCAGAATATACGTAAAATTTTCAAAATATGAGACCGGACCTAATTTATTTAGTGGGTAAACGTATAATAAAATATACGAGGTAAATTTACATATATATAATCGGACAGGATAAATGAGCGGATCTATAATATTAATATTATCTTTAAAAAATTGGGTACTGATTGTTTCGCGATTTATTTTCTTCCAAGTTTACTAGTTGTACTACATACTGTGGTAAATACACATCGCACAAAAAAGCCTTCCGAGAAAAGAAAACAAAAAAACAACAACAAAACAGAATACCAACGTGACCCAGGTGCATATCCTTTCACTAAGAACACAAATAACCCATCAAGCTAATTCCCGTTTCCCCCACCGACGTATATTTAGTTTACCTACCGGATGTGAGGCGCGGTTGGGCAAGGGAGGTATCGAGTTGTCGCGCGCCGCGACCGCCGCGGCCGGCGGCGCCGTGAAGTGTCGCCCGGGGAATGAAGACGCATAGGCCCATTCGTCGCGCCGCCGCTTATTTCGGGCGAGACGCGCTGGAGAAGGAGGCCGAGGGCGAGGGCGCCGGCGAGGGCGAGGGCGAACGGCTGCCCCAAAATACGCCACGGGCAGGTGCACGAGCTTGGAGCCCCCCTCCCGCACGTCGCCGGCAGGGCCCGCCGCGGGCAGGGAACTATGGAAACGTAGTCGTCAGGCGGCCTCGTCAGAATTCGAGAGTTGCAAGGCGTTCCATTTACTCGCTGCTACTCGCTCGAGTGTTTCGCCCTCGCCGCCAGAGTCCGCCACTGGTAGAGGACTACAGAAACGTTCGCTGCAAGTGACCTCGTCAGAGGTAAAGAGCCACAAGGTGTTCCATATTCTCGCTCGAGCGTTTCATCCTCGAGCGCCGTCAGCTCGATCGTCTTGCGCTCGAGTTGGGTACGTTCACAGGTTGCGAGGCTTATCAGCAAAGGACTATGGAAACACTTTCTGCAGATGATTCTGCTCGTCTGGCGTACAGGGCTACATGGCATTCCATGTGCTCGCTCGTACTCGTTCGAGTGGTTTATCCTCGAGCGCCATATGCTCGAGTGACCTGCGCTCGCGATGAGCTTATTTACGCTCTGAGTAGCCGCGAGGGTTCACCGTGAGGAGAGGACGATGGAAACAGTTTTTTCAGACGGCCTTGTCTGAAGTAGGGCTACTATTTGCGCGCTCGCAGTCGCTCGATTGTTTCTTCCTCAAGCGTTGCATGTTCGAGCGTCCTGAGCTCATGGTGGGCTCAAATGGCCATGTCGAATTGTCTTTCGCTTTTGAAGAATGAAAAGTTGGCAAGTCCAATGGAATAGAGTTTCAATAATCGTGAGGAACCTTTTAGACTAATATTTATTGTCGTTACATTCACAACATACAATTGAATTGAATATATGAAAATGCCATTTACTCTTTCCTAATCAATATTGATCATGTGGTATAAAATAAAAAAATATACCCGATGCAGTTAGATTTTTTTATTCTGGATAAGCAGCAAGAAAATTGCTTTCAATTTCTCTTTCATTTTTCTTCATCTCTTTAATTTTTCATGATAAAGAAGCGCAGTGTCTAAAGTTAAACGAACACGTGATTTCGACGGATTTTCATTTATCTAATTAAAAGGCTACACGTACTATTAGCCGACGATGATGCTGGATAGCTCACCAGAGCCTTATAAAAAGGTATAATGGTGTTGCAGAAAGAAATCCTTTGCCCTTAGACTTGGTAAAGACGATTTTAAATTTGAAGTGGTTATAATGACCTCAGTACGGTGCTTCTGACACACTTGATTTGATATTCCAATATTGTCACTCTATTCTACGAAAAAGATTAAAGAAAATGTGTAGTAGTGAACAACAAAACATTGATCACATTGAATTTCCACGTTCCGATTCTTCATTTCGCATAACTTGAGTGAGTTATTAAAGTGTAAGAGTGAGGATAAAAAATCGTGTTGTACTTTTTAAAGTTGGAAGTAATAGATATTATCTCTCCCTCTATTTTATCCACCCCTCAGCCAGTTACCATATACGACCCGATGGGACGCATATTCGACCATACACTAGACACCAACACACTTTAAGGTTCCTCTGATCTGGGATCAGCAGAACGCGAGGCCCTCCGCGACAACACAATACACGAGAGACAGGGACAAACAACCATGCCTAAGGTGGAACTCGAACCCACGACGTCTCCGACCGAAGCGCGTCGAAGTCGGTGCACGCTCTTAGCCTCCTCAGACATTCAGTTCGGTAGGAATAGATTATTCAATAAATCTTTCTTTACCAATTTTCTTTCAGGGACAGGCAGCACCAAGGCTCGACCAGAACTAAGGTCGGGGAGAACGTTTCTCCGATGACCTCGAAGCAGAGACAGAAGACTTTTGAGATGTCAGTCGCTGAAGGGGGCGTGCTCTAAGGCAAGTTAAGATAGGTTTGTTTTCATTGCTTGTAGATTTCCGTCCCCTTTGCCAAAGCTCTATTGAATCCGCTCTGAAGCCAGTGCGAATAGGATCGATATAATGTATATAGTTGCTCAGGCTGAAGACCAATGCATAAAATATTCATATCGCATATTATCTCCTTTTAGATCTCTGAATTCAGCACACATATTTTCCTTGTGAACTTTCGGACTATGTTTAAAATGCTACCGTTATGGTTTACGTTATAATTTACTTCCAAATTTAAGCACAAATATCATTGAGTTCATTTCCTATCATTGCGGAACGTACACTCTTGATGCAAAAAATATGTGCTTAGATAAAGCTTGTTGCTTTCGCGTCCGCTTTCAAGTCGCGGAATCGATCCTCCCTGTATGCCATTTCGATATTATTTTGTGGAACTACAGAATGACAAGACATACCGTTTTCTTCGTTGAAATGGTAGTATATAGTGTATGTTTAAAAGTTTACTCTTGACGTAATTAATAGGTTCTCAGCCCATGGTATGCTTTTCGGTTTAGAAAAGTGGTTAATTGATTTTCTTACGTGATAAATTTTTAGTCCATTGTGAAGGATTCCTTTTCCTACTAATGTTAATTATTTATGTTGCCAGGTTAATGTTACATTTATTATAATCTTGATTAATTTTGTTATTTCAAACTCTATAAAAACATTTCATTGACTTAACAAACCCGGGTTCAACATATAATACTTTACCTTCGTATTTTACAATTATATGTGGACGTGCTACTCTATAAAAAAGCCGCAATTCCTGAAAGTTCCGATGTATTATTCTGTTATTAAAAATATGATGGCAACTTCTACAAATTATCAGCATTAATACTTTGTTTGATAATAAGAAGTTAACATTTCTTCTACATATTTACATTTTTTGTCTTTGAGGTCATTAATGACTTGAATTCTATTTACTTTGTACACTCACAAATTCCGAACGGCATTTCTATCCCATAAATGATGGTAAGCTTACGGAAATATCTTCTAAGCTGGTCTTCAAGCTTCGACCCCGGATACCGTCGGTGGGATGTCCACGCGGTGTTCCTACTAATGTCGCAAATTTTGGCAGGGGGAGAGTTTTATTGTAATGTTCCCCGAAAATACTGTTTGATAATAATATTCTATAACCCAATCTATTTAATTAATGCAGTCCCTGAACGCGACTTTCTCTTCCTACGCCTCGGATGAAACGCCTACTCGCGAGTCATTTTAACTTAAACCAATTTATAATGTCCAGTTACGAATCTATTCTACAATAATTCTCCACGTACAAAGTATGTTTTACATGAATCCCAAAATCACAAATTGCAACACAAGCTGAAAATGAAACCCCCCAAATTACAAATTACATTTTACTCATAAAACCAATCACTCAATTAAGGTACATTTTCCATTTATTAACATCAAAATTTTACCCAGCGTAAGTCTACAAAATAGTACCGTCCTCATCGATTGCAGTTAAGAGAGAGTGACCTATTCTAAATACTTGTGGAACCTCGATTTTCAACTCCGTCTTCTCATTTATTTAAAATTGTGTCTCTGTGCCATGCCTCGCACAAGAATATCATGTTCAGCCCTCAAGCACAGAACGCAAAGTTTGTTGACTAGTTGTCCTGACAACGTGTATCCTTTGTTCTAGAATGTTTAGAATACTTCCAATTCTAAAATAACCCTACGTTCGATGCATATTTCCCTTTATTAAATGCCTTGGGGTGTTTCTGGTACGCCACTCTATTATTATTTATTTATTTATTTTTATATATATTATAATATAAAATGCAGGTTTTGAATAAACTCTCTGGCGCCTCTTTTGCGACTTAGATATTTTCTTGGAGAACAGGTTATCGCTAAAAAACGTTTTTTTACCAAACCTGAGCAATTCCAGAGAGTTTTCATTGCAGAAAATCTCCAGCAGGCAGAATTGCTTCAGAAAATCCTACCTAAATCTTGTAGTCATTTCGAAATTGAATCTGAGAAAATGATGTTGCTATCGTTAAATTCTGTATTGATACTGTAAACGTAGACATATACTACTATAATATCCATATAATGCTATAAAATTCGAACAGTTAAACTCTTATTTGCTTCAGGACACAAGAAGTAGATCCTTTTAAAGGTGAATTCTCGTAGATGTTTTTTTTTCTGCAGTAAATTTAAATAAGGGTGAAATTCGATTACTTCGGACCAAGAGACCATTGAAAGCAAAGAAGCTTGTTACATCCTTTAGTATTATAGAGTATTAGAAAAGGTGGTACATTATCCTGAACGAAGTAGTAATGGAAATGGAACACCTGCAAATATTG